GTATGCAAATATCGACTGCATTTGGCTACTATTTTGTTGAGAAGGTCATGACCACAAGCTCAGTGTAATGGACTGGAATTGGAACGTACAACAATAGAAAGGATGTCCGAAAATAGGATTGCACAACTTCTGTTGTCTATGCTTCTAGTATGATTGCATTGTATTCATACCTACAATATATGTATTGTAATAAAGCTGTACACAAGTATACATTCCAAGAGCCTCAACCCGAGTCATGTTAATTTTTTTCGGTAGGTGAATTTTTTTTTTTCGAAATTCGTGATGGTTTTGTAAATAAATATGTGTGCATGTGTGTACGTATGTACTTCTTCTCACTCAGTTGTTTATCCCGAGTGCAGACAGGTACTGCCACAGCGTCTGTGTACCTGGTCCTTCCACTATGTTAGCGGGCCCCTTACTTTCATTTTCCATCGCTAGGTGCCAAGTTGAAGGATCTTTTGTCTAGAAAGTCATTATCCATGCGTACAACATGGCCAAGCCAGCGCAATCGTTGTATTTTTATGCGATTAACATGTTTATATCATTATATGGTTTCGTAAATTCAGAGGGTAAGGTACATAATTTTCCATCCGCCATGAATTATCACAACGCTGTGCCTAGCGATAGACAACTCATTGGCATAATGTTTGCCCAGTTCTTTAGGTCCTATTATTCCGTAGCGTCCCCTACAGGCTAAGACTATCCTTATGAACATCGTTCGATTAAATAAGCTCGTATTCAAGTAAAATCTTCCGATGACGTTTTACGCTATTTGATGAAGTGCATTTTAATTCATTTTTTAATCTTCGACCAGAGATAACTGAAATTCTAATAAAATCTAAAATTAGAAACAAACACAACTGAACAATCAAATTAATTAGTTTCACTCCCATACATACATACATATTTTATATTGATAACGATAATGAGATTTGTGCGTACTACAGCTGGGAATTCACGTCGATGGCGAACCAATTTTGACGGTGAGTAACGCTAAAAATACTCGGAGTTACCTTCGATAGTCTGTTCTCCGGCCGGTATACAAATGTGCATCGCCCATGTGGTAACCGGGGACAGGCAGCACGCAGTGGACGAAGCTACAGATCTGCCAAAACACGGCACTCCGGACAGCTACTGGATACCTTCTGATGTCGCAACAGCACCACCTACATGACGACGGTCAAATACTCCCTGCCAAGGAGCACGAAACAATGCTTTGTAAGCAATTCCTAGTAGGCCACAGACGTGGGAATCCGAAAAGACACCTGCAGAGCCCTCGTCTAGGCACGTCAGAAGGCACCTACTTATACGAACTAACGACACGAAGTCCAGAGGTTCATAAAACAACTTCTGGACTCGACATCGTACCGACAGACCATAAACGGAATCACAGGGAGTCGCTCTCGACCTACACCGACTCCCGACCTGTGAATGCCGTTTTGAGAACACAGTCACCTGATGTGGCCGAGACAGAACTTCGTCAGGAGACTCGCACCACCATAGCCCAACTTCACTCTGCATACTGCAGCAGGCTAAACGTCTACTTGAGCAGGATAAATACAGATTTGCTCAATGAGTGCCCGGCATGCGGACAGTCACCTCATGACTGACAACACCTATTCGCACGGCTCCAAAATCCCATTCAACTAACGCCCCTCTACAGTAATTGTAGTATCTTTAAGTAATAATATTATATCTTTAAAAATATTATATTTCTATCATAAGATCATTAAACTTTGAACTTTGCGGCATAGACAACACATGAGTCCAAAAGAAAACATCAGTTAAGGAGGCGATTGAGTTTCGTGCCATGATTAATAAGTTCCTCACTAAACAAGAAAGAATACTACAGATCATTATGGAAGAGATTTAATATTGTTGTTATTGATCTTTCGAGGTATCCCAATGGTTTATAAGTGATATAGTCTACTTGAGCAAGGTAGACAGCCAATTGCAAATGCTTAGAGCTGAGGACGGCCGAGCGAGCCTTATCCTCAGACATTTTCGGAAAATATCGAAAACTTATTTTGGAAAGTACCAGGGTTAGAGGCGTTTGTGGTTATCTGTTATCCATGTTTTCGCTACACAGTTTCTGTTGATGCGCTGACCTTACTGCTCAGGTCAGGATCAAGGTCAATTCAAGGTTAAACCTATAGAATCCATGTAAACGGACTATAACAGATACATATAGGTTTTTGCAATCGCTGAATTTGAATTCTGAGCCCGTTTAATCTATTCAAATCAGGACCGAGGACAATTCAAGGACACCAGATTTGGATTCAGCGATCACTGAAACCTATAGGAACCCTGACTTAGTTTTTTAGCGATGAAGTTTTTAGAATTGCCCTTAATGCTGACCTGATGGGGTCAAACGGACACCTGGTGTTTCAGGGTTAGATGGGTTTGTGGTCCTCTGTTATTCGTGTTTTCGCTACACAGTTTCTTTTGATGCTCTGAACTTAGACCTAAAAGGCTTGAACTATAATGTATATTTTGGAAACAAAGTTTATGCTCCAACAATTTCTGCGATTTTTTCTTTTGCAAAGCCACATTTTTTTAAATAAATTTTCGATCTTTTCTAAAAATGTCTGAGTACAAGTCTAATAGATGCGAAACGTAAGCATATGCATGTAGGTAAAGAAGATATATTTCGTACAGCCGGAAAATTGAACCTGCCTTGCAATACGTCTGACAGGGCACTAGAAATCGGACAATAAACTACATGTGTGACACCCAAGCACATGATCCTTTACTGCATCCTGTTTAAGGAGCGAAAAATCTAATTGATTACTTCGTCATAAGCTAACTGCCCAAACACAATTTTTTTATATTGAGAGTGACATTCTTAATCGGACTCATCGGATGATTCAATTGAGTGGCAACGCTATATCGCATACAAAGCCTTGTTTGCAGTGCTGTGAGAAGGACATAAGTCGATAACCAACCACCCTGTTAGATCTTACCATTATGGTTTTAGAAAAGACTAGCGACTGTATGTTGGAATTCTAGTGCGCGTTGACTCCTGCAAAAGACCTTGGGCAATAAAAACGACACACACGACCTCTAAAATGACTTCACAGTAGAGATGGGCACGGGCCTAAATTTTCAGGCCGGCCCTGCACGAGTGCAAAATCAATTTTCAGAAACACGCACCCGCACGTTAAGAATTTTTGTGGGGCCCGGCCCGACCCGGCCCGGCACGACGGGACACGTCCCAGCCCGGAAATAAAGAGCCAATTTTTATTGTATGTATACATATGTACATATTTTTAATTTTGTGTTTATCTATCTATATATGGCTCATTCCACGGTAATCGATACCGAATGAAACGAAAATAAACTAAAGAATATGACTGTATTTTTTCTAGTAAGAGTAAATAAATCTAACTTTCAAGACTGAAAGCTAAAATTCTGAAATTTATCTCAAAATCAGATATTTTTTTACTTAAGGTTGTACCATTTACAAACCCATATGAGAGGTTAATTTTTTCAAAATTTACAAGACTGATTTTCGTAGTCTATTACCTTTTTTGCATTGTTTAAACCGTCAGTGGAGAGACAAATTCGTTAGCATTGTAACGGCGTAATTTTCAAATTTTTCGGGCAAGTAGGTACTAAATATTTTATTATATATTGAAGCAAAGCATATTTTAATGTCACGCCCGTCATAAGATACACAAAATAGTTATTTTTTGAAGGAAAACACATCTTGGACAGTGTAAAAAAGCTGACGAAAGTAACGCTATGACACAGGGAAATATGTGCGAATCGCTCTTAAGTATTTTTATGCATTTATTTTCGAAAAAAGAACCGATTATGTTGGTCACGCCCGTCACATGTCACACCCGTCACAATTTAAAGTTTGACAAACTTCAATAAATTCGGCCAGGGACTGCTACCGTTACTTATCAGCTAATCTGAAATGTGTCATATATCTGTTTGTGATCAGCGATGATAAAGCTAATCATAAAGATATGTTGCTCGAGCGATGGGAAGACTTAAGCTATGCTGTCACGGATAAAAAGATATCATTACTTCGCTTGTCAGGGCAAAAAAAGTATCTGAAACGGGTTTTTCAGGTAACGGCCTCGGTTTGACAGGTCAATAGCCTCATACTATTTAAGAATAAGGTACTTTACAATTACTAAGACATACAATGGAGAAGAAGAGTCCGATCAAGGATTATCCCGTCTTTAGGTGGCAGAATCTTGTATGTGTTCGTAAAATCCGATTTTTTGAGAAATAAAGTTAGCTTAGTTGTCTAATAATGTCGCACCCGTCACAGTTGAATTTGGAACATATAATCTATAATTTCCAATAGCGGCAAGCAACTTTGGCGTAAATATTGAGAATGTTTATTTAACTATACAACGAACTATTTAAAACCATAAGCAGAAGACATAATTAGCAGAAAAACTCTGATGCAAGTAAGGAGTAGTTAATTTGGTTTGCGTACTCGTCACACCCGTCACAGTGACTAAAATTCAGATAACTCGTTCGGATTAAATTGTTTTTGGAATTTTTATTCCAGGCATTGTCTATATCTCGGAACCCTATTACAAAATACTCGTTTTAAAGAATTTTGTATTACAGTTTAAGAATTAACCCTTAAAATGTGAGTTGAAATGTCACACCCGTCACCGTGGAATAAGTCATCAATTGAGAACGGTTGGGCGGATTTGGCAAACATTTTCTCTTAGTTGTTCCTAACTGTCAGGATAAGGTTTTTACGAAAGAAAATTTTCGGAAATCCCTCCGGGAAAGTCGGAAAATTGGAAAAATCGAAAATTGAAAATTTTTTGTATGGAATTTTGTGTGCAATTCCTTCTGAATGGCTTTCGAATGTGCCTTATGAATAAAAAGTTAGCAATTGCTATTTCTTAAAATTTCAGACCTTTTTTTTAATTTACTTGAAGAAATCGAGTAATAGGTCTGAAAATGTAATGAAAAGCATTTGCTTAGTCTCATTTAATTATCCTATTCTTTCTCTCTCCTTTCAGTTGCCATCCATTGTTGCCAATTTGTCACGCCTGCAGGTGCTAACGTTGGACTACAATCGTCTTGATGCTTTCCCCATGGTTATTTGCCAGCTGACAAACCTGCGCGTACTTAATCTTAGTTGTAATGAAATAGACAAACTGCCACCGGAAATCGGTCATCTTACACAACTCGAAACATTTTGGTGCAATAATACGGGCCTACTAGAAATTCCAGACGAGATTGGCAATTGTACTAGACTCGAGACAATGGGCGCACGTGGCAATAAACTGAAACAACTACCAAACAGTATAGGTCAGCTGACGAATCTGCGTTGGCTGACATTTGAATCGAATGAACTGACTGAGGTTCCCGCCACAATGGATGGGTTCGTGAAGTTGGTACATTTGAATTTCAAGAATAATTACCTCACCAGCGTACCGGCTTGCCTGCGACACATGCGTAAGCTGCAATATGTTTTACTGAATAACAATCGCATAGAAACAATGCCGGCTGCGGAAGATCTCTTCAATACACGATTTGTGCGCGTGCTCAACCTCAGCGAAAATCCAATTTGCGATGAGGAAGAAGCACGACGACAACTGAGGGTGAGCTTTAGAATGGCAAAGAGTAATGGAATTGTAATTAAAATGTGTTTTTCTTTTACTATTTATTTGCAGGAGCATTTGCATGTACAGTGTGAAGAGCGACTGGACGCTGCAGAGCAGCAACGCTTAGCAATGCGTGGCAGCGAGCTGAGTGAGGACGATGATGACGAAGAGGGTGATGCAAACTCTGATTGGGAGAATAGTATAGAGACTAGTGATTTAGACACAACAGATGAGAGTGGACCAGAAAATGACTTAGAGGTGGGTAAATTTGGAAAAAAAGAGAACCAATGAAGAGGTTTATAAACTTTTTCTTACTCCTTGCAGGATATTTCCATGCTAATACCAGAGCTTTCGCGATACATAACCAACTTTACTTGAATACTCCCAGTTCGGACTTGAGCTCAAATTTCGTCTTGCTTTATGCTTATATGTATTTTTGAATATCTATCTATACTTGCATAAACATATTTAATTAAACTAATTGTTGGTATTGAAATTATGTGATAACTTCCAAATTTTAAAAATTATACAAAAAAGCGATATTTTATTTAAAAAAAACAAGAGCTTTTATTGAACTATTTAAAGGAGCATGGTTAGTACTCACATTAAATGCATTTACATTCACATATTTTATCTTTGCACAGCAAAACTTTGCAAAACTTTCCGAGAAAACTAGCACCAGCAACAACTATTCTAACGAAAACGCTAACAAGTGGTAAGCGGTAATGGTATATAGTTGGTGTGTGAGGTAAGCAAACTTAAAACTAGCTCAATTAAAAATATTGATTTATTTGTGTTTTTAATTGGTATATAGCCTGAGTTGAAGAGGATTTTTTGTTGATTAACCAGACATCTTTTTCATTAGCTCCTCATCTTGTATGGACATGGCGGTTAGCTTTTTGCCAATTTTTTCATGAATATCCAGGTATTTGGCCACACATCGATCAATGCAGACCATTTCGCCCTTACCTGCAAAGAAAAACGCGAAACAAATTTACGTAAAATTTGCATGACGAAATTTTACAAAAATCTATAAAATTTCTCAAAAATACTCAAGTTTCAACTTTTCTATTAATTACTTACCTAGGGGAGGAATTTACTAGCAAAAGGGGTTTTGGGGTATCTTAACAAAATATTCTCTTCGAAGACAACATTTTTAATTCGCTCTACTTCCAGATGGGTGCGGGTGTGCACAGAAATACATCAAGCCAAAGCATCAGTCTCTTTTCGTTCCCACGACAGTCGGGTCTACGTAACCGGAACGACCCAGATTTATATTTGGCCAAGGACTGTCACTCCAGCAACACTCACCAAAACTCTTTGGGGAGCTTGTATGTTGCTACAACAACAACAACAATCAGTCTCCTTTACTTCTAAACTATAATTGATGGAAATGCCTTTTGTATGCAATTAAGTTCCAATAAGGCACTTAACCGTAGTTGCGCATATTGACATATCCATCAATTCTAGCTTAGAAATAAAAGATACTGATGCTTTGGCTTGATTCATTTCTGAATACAACCTGCGTAGTCTACTCAGCATAAGTTCTGTAAATACTTCTCCAGGTTTTTAAATTAAATGGGAGCAGCGATGAGCACGGATTTATGACCAAACAAAATTAACAATCTATCGTGTAGAAGGTGGTGATCTGTATTAGTATTAGTTAACGAACATAGCTCTACATTGAACTTTTTCGGTGGATCTTACAACCAGTTCATTAAAAATGTAAATGTAATGCTTTAAAAATAGTACATATTTATAATGGATCCTACATGAACTCATATTTTAAAAGTCCGAGTTATATTGTTGTACATATTGTAAGCATAAATCAAATTTCTGACTGCTGTGCAAATATTGGGGAACTCCAGGTTTAATATTGTTCCTTAGGAGGTTAATCTTTTGCACTAGCCTAATTAGGGAAAGTTTCTTAGCATCTTTTTCTGGCTGCAAGTAGTTTCGTGCTGCAAATTGTTTAAGACTTATCAGGCAGCCAATCGTATCTTAGCGGGTATGCTCTTTCGCTGTACGGTGTTTCCTTTCATTATACTTAGACGTCTCCTAACGAGGTGCGATCGGGTGCCTTTTTCCCATTACTTTTGCAGTTGGGTTGGGTAGTTTAGTGACAGTCAACCTACCCACACGTCCAAGAAAGACCACGGTCGGTATATCACTGGCCAGATTTGAACGTGCGGGAAAACTTTTCGTCCTGTGAAACACCGAGGATTTTGGCTATACTATAATAGAAAACGCACATCTGTGCTCTTCAGCTTCCTTATAAGGACTTTTGTTGGCTTACATGCAATTAGACTAGAGGTTGACGTCTCGGACCAATGTTGTAGTTGCAAGATCATAGAAGAAGATTAGGCACGCTTAGAAAAGATCTCACAGGTGGAAATAAGACCATCGGTAAAGCTCACGACATCGAAAGGGATTTTTTCGCTATAACATCAAAGTGCTACTATTTTTGGCAGAAATATGTGTGAAAAGGGTTCTGTTCTTAGTTGTTTCAACCTAAATTAAGAATTCTTACTTTATCCATATTTGCTTTTCAAACCTATTCTTGCATTGGACAACGCAAAAGATCTTATCAGGGCCGCGAAACAAGCGGGAATGGGCTAGTATTCTTGATAAAATAGAAAACAGAATTTAACTAACTCACAATCCTTGACAATAGAAATATAAGTAAAACGTTGCTCAGTGTGTTATAAATCAATTTTTAAAAATTATTTTAAATAACGAATAAAATCACTAATAATCTATTCATGAATGAATTATTTACGAATTAATATATTACGGATAAAATTTTATAATTATCTAAATAACAATTTATTCGAATAATGCCCAACTCTGAATCTGGGTCGTTCCACTTACTTATGCCGATTTCGTTTCTACCGAAAAATGCAACCTTCTCTTTGCCCTCTACGCACAAACACTAAAAAAAGGGCAATAAAGAAGCAAAATATTTTGTAGAAACGAAAACGCCATTAGGTCCGACTGTGGTGGGAAGTTATATTACTGAACGCTTCTGATTGATGCCGTCTATTATTTGAGCTTTGATTGTTCTACTGTTGTTGTAGGAGCATAAATATTCTACCATGAACTTTATGGGAATCTGTTGATGCGTCAGTCCTCGGCCTAATATAGATCAGGGTCATTCAGTTCCGTAGACCACCCCGACTGTCATGGGAACGGAGTGCCCTGGATATAGAGAGCTTGTGTTCGGTTTAGTTTATTTCAGCGGGTATATGAAATATAAAACATATCTAATACCATAAATTTTTTAAGCAGAGGGCAATGTCCGCTGTATTAAAAGCCAAGCAAGCACAGCAGTGGAGGATGACAAAAAAAATGCTCTTAATAGTTAAAGTACTCTAAGAATGGAAAATTGTGGTATGGAGTTTAAACTTAACTATCAGCTAAATGTTTGTGTACAAAAAGAAATAGAAAGCAATTTATCTTTCATTTGCTTACCCAATTCCGCTTCTCCGTAGCGCGGTGGTATGCATTTTTTATGGCAGGCATTTGTCATGCGGTTATATAAGTCCGACATCATTTCAATTTCCATATCCTGCATCAGCTGCAATTTAGCCTGGTCGGCTTGACTTATTTGTGGCATGGCCATTGTGTACGCTTGGTGTTAGTTTATTAGTTGCTTGAATAAAATGTCGAGTTATAGGGTTCACGCTTTATGTGATAGTTTGCCCAAATGTTCGTATTTTTTTATTTATAAATATTTGCTCCAAAACGAGTCCTATTTACTTTCTTAAGTATTTAACCACTGAAGCGCCTATCACCAATAGGTTCGTATTCACCAATATTTGACTTTCGCATGCGTTCACGGATTTGCATGTCCTGGTAACGTCGTTTATCAACAGAGTTTTTCGACAAAATAAATCCAGACACTCCCGCAAATGTAATCACTCCCCTGTAATTTTTGTGAAATAAAAGAAATTTTATATATAGTTTCGGTTTTACTAAAAGTAGTACGTTTACCAACAAATTACAATCTTTCCAAATGAACCCAAAGACATGTCCCTCACGAAATTTCAATGGAGCAACGATGTAATCTCAGCTGGTTTTGACATAACCTCAAAAACTACAATCAAGTGACAGCTGTGAAACCACAATACAGTTGCCACACTTATTTGTTTGAGATTGAAAATTTTGGGTGGCCAGATGATTGAATAAGAACATATACCCCATTTGTTTTATTGCCTTATTTTTACAAAATAAAGTTGGTTTTGAAAGTGACATTTTCATAAAAATGTTTGTTTTATTAAGCACTTAAAGCCATCTTAATTTTTCACGAATTTGGGTGTAAGGTTTTATAAACTAAAAATCATACTTACGGTCGCGATCTCACTATAGTCGGGTCTAAGTAACTTGTGAGGCCCCGGTCGCTAATTACGGAATCCGTGGTCGAATGAAATAAAATGATAGCTGTTTCCAATCCAATTTATATTGAAGCGGAATCGCTATCATGGTGCGCAAACTCAAAACGAAATTTTGAACCGAGTTTAATGCGATATCGGATGCGATGACACGGGTCCAGGTTAGTACCTGACCAAGTAATTACTGTTATCCGGTTTGATTATAACAAAATTCAAAGAAAATGTTTTGCGTTCTTTAATTAAAAAACACTCGGTGTATCAACTATTTTTTGTTTTTAATGCTTAATTTCATGCAGTATACAAAATTTTACAACAAAATAAATTAAGTAAATTTAATTAACAAATTTCAGGAAATATATACAAATAGAAAATAAATACATATCAAAAATTAAATACATGTTCATATCTACATAATGGAATGATAAGCTCGAAATAATATGAACGAAGATAACACTACAGGACTCGTACTTAAATCGTTTGGAAAGTTTGTGATCAAAAATTATTATTTTTTTCATTACGTCAATGAAAAGAATGCTTATTAACTAAAACTTTCAACAAAAATATTTAGCGAATTTCAATAGCCTTAACAATCTAAACTCAGTGATATCGCTCTTTCTATTATCATTCAAGGAAAGGAGTATGGTGCTAGTAGTGTTGATCATATTCCAATATGTGGAATATGCATGAAAAACACCGTGCTACAAAATAAGTCATAAAATACACCCGAAACAAAACCGTTCCGAATAGTTCCTGAACATATATCATATATGCATATCTCAAAAACTACTTGATCGTAAGGTCTATAAATCCTCTTTCCTAACTATGTTTGGTTTTTAAAATCGGATGACAATTAGTTAATCTCTTAATACTTAGATAAGTGCATCAAGTACGAACATAACGGTTGTTTTTAAATAAAATANCTAGTAGTGTTGATCATATTCCAATATGTGGAATATGCATAAAAAACACCGTGCTACAAAATAAGTCATAAAATACACCCGAAACAAAACCGTTCCGTATAGTTCCTGAACCTATATCATATATGCATATCTCAAAAACTACTTGATCGTAAGGTCTATAAATCCTCTTGTTTGGTTTTTAAAATCGGATGACAATTAGTTAATCTCTTAATACTTAGATAAGTGCATCAAGAACGAACATAACGGTTGTTTTAAATAAAATAAAAATGGAGGGTTCACGAACTACACGGAACCTATTTTTACGTTGCACTCTACCATAGCTACAACCTACACTAGGTTTTGTTTCGGGTGTATTTCATGACTTTTTTTGTAACACCGTGTAATTAGTCAATAATTCTTATAATAAATGCTGCGTACGTAAAACGCTGCTAACGTAGCTGGTTTAGTCTTAAAAGTCTATTAATCGATCGGCTGGGTGAGTCCAACTAGCAACATGTTGACATGTTGTTTAAATGTTTGTTATTATGCACTTTAATTTTTATAAATGCAGTTTTAGNACACCGTGTAATTAGTCAATAATTCTTATAATAAATGCTGCGTACGTAAAACGTTGCTAACGTAGCTGGTTTAGTTTTAAAAGTCTATTAATCGATCGGCTGGGTGAGTCCAACTAGCAACATGTGACATGTTGTTTAAATGTTTGTTATTATGCACTTTAATTTTTATAAATGCAGTTTTAGTATTAACTCGGCGGTATAGAGAACGAATGTTGGCCCCTACCATGGTTCGGCTTCGAGCCAAACCAACTCATTTTCCAATTTAGCGTATCTTGCAGTAATTTCTCTTCATCTTTGGTGAGTCTTAACAGTGTCGCAACAGCGCGTATTAAGTGACGTGCTTCTACCTGTGAACAGAAAACAAAGCAAAGAATTTAGAGATACACAAATTCTAAATTTATATAACGGACTCACCTCTCGACTAGTAAGAAATTTCACAATTACGTGTTTTAAATATTTAAAATTGACTTCATCCATAACTATGCTATTGGTACCAGTGGTTGTGATATTGCCGGTGGTGTTTACGCTCATGCCGCAGTGTTCGCATGACAGCGGCTCACTCAAAAATGTAGTGTTGGATGCAAGTACATCTGCCGTACTTGGCAGTTTGGCCGCAATGCAGTTACCGTTACGCTCTTTTTCCACTTCGATTGATTTAGCGTTGTGAAATTCCTTCTGCAGAGTTTTCTTCAAATCCGCCAAACGTTGATTCAGAATTTTTATTGTCTATGGATACGAGTATTCTTGATGAAATTAGATTTTTCTTCACATAAAAAGAAGTTAACAATAAATTATACCTTATTTTTCTCGCTTATTTCCCGTTGCATTTCATCGATCTCCTTTAGCTTCTCACCATTCTTATACATCACAGTCCTTAAATCCTCCATCTCGATTTTACATTGCTTGATCTCTTGCGTTTTGGCTTGCATTTCGCTTGTCAACTGTTCGTTCTTTTCACTTAAATCATTAGCCTCATCTCGTTCGATGCGCAATTCTTTGCGAAGGATCTCCTCACTTTGTGATATCTCTGCATTTCGCAACAGTGCTGTTAGCTTTTCTTCCTTTTCCGTTTCCAGCAGATTTAAAGCTTCGTTCAGCTGTTCTTGTAGCTGCGCGTTTTGCTGGCGTAACGACTGTGCAACATGTTCCGCATTGGTGGCATACTCGCTGAAGCGTTCATCTGCGGTACTGATGCGTAACTTTAGTTCCTTAGTTTCATTTTCTAGTGTCTCCTTGAGGTTGAGAAAGATGGCAAATTTCAACAAATATCAAACTTGAAATCGTTAAAACAAAATTCCAAAGTAGAATAACGACAGACATAAAACTTAAGTGGTAAATAAATGATATTTTTTTAAAATCAAAACTCTTCCTTTAAATGAAAACGGCTTTTATTCAGAACATTAAATAATACAAGATTTTTTTTTAACAAAATATAAATCAACAAAGGTTGCATCAACTAACGTACATATAAATAAACTTAACAAAGCAANTTTAAATCAAAACTCTTCCTTTAAATGAAAACGGCTTTTATTCAGAATTTTAAATAATACAAGATTTTTTTTTAACAAAATATAAATTAACAAAGGTTGCATCAACTAACGTACATATAAATAAACTTAACAAAGCAAACACGAGCTGTGAGCGTTAATTGGTGTATTTAATACTATTTATGTGTCGGTGGCTGCAGTTTTAAATAAGTTGGTGATAGGGTTAGCTAAAGCATTTAATTTACATACGCATGGGTGTGTTTAGTTATTATTATATCTTCTTGGGTTTAGGTTAGTTACATATTATCCCAATGCAATTCACCTAAATCAGCAGATATACTCACAGCCTTATTCCGTTCGTAGATAATTTGCTGTTCATTCTCCTCGCGGCATTCCTTTAAGGCCGAATTCAATTCATCGATCTCTTCTTCAAGCAGTTTTATCTGAAAAAAAAAAAATATATATATATATATAATTCTTTTTTAAAGTATGTTTCTATAAACCACAATTTCATAATTTTAAGCGTATTCGCCTACATATATCGCTACCTTAATATAGAAACTCCCTATCGAACAGTCTGTTTTTCACAGAGTAGTTATAAAACAGTATAAAAACCATAGTACTTCAGATTAAAATTTCTTGAAAACGCTGGACTTTAATAGATATTTTTAAATTATGTAAAGTCCTTTCTTAGCTATCTACTAACTTTTGTACAATGCTTAATTTCGATTTAGCATTTTTATATTAAGGTAACGATATATTATACGATTTTTCAATCGACATAGTTTTTAATTGCATACAAAAACGAACTCTTTGTTAAAATTTTAAGTAAAGATTGCATATTTTTAGCGTTTTTACGAATTCAACACAAGGCAAACACATATTTTCGTTGCTTTGTTTTAATGGGATACCCAGCTTTACAAAAGAAAAGTGCTTTAACTCCACCCGCATCTCTCAAGAACTTAATGAGAAATCTTCTAAACTGCTAGAGCTATTACTATTCTTAACATATATGATTTTATTATACGTACTTTATCATCACGCTGCTTCATGTCTTCCCTAAGTTTCATCATTTCAAATTCTAATTGCTTAACTTTTTCATTTAAATCATCACGTGCCTTCAATGCTTTTCGTTTTTCAGTCGTTTCTTCCGCAACTTGCTTGGACAAGCGGCTTACTTGCGTTTCCAATGATAAGTTCTGACCGCTCCATGTACTCTTTATATCGGACAGCTGAAGATGGGCTTCTTCCAGATGCTGTTCGAGCATTTTGCGTTCTTGCACGAGCGCTTGCATTTTCTCATCTGCGCTAAATGTATTTATAGCATCTAAACGCGCTTGTTCCATTATTTGTAAACGCATTTTTAAATGACGATTTTCCTCCTCGACAGCAGCAAGTGTAGTTGTCAAATTATTTTTTCCCAGCTGTGACGAATGACGCAGACGTTCCAGTTCATCCTGGAAGGAATAGAAAAACATTATTTGAATTACAGCGTGTAACTTGGGTAGATATGCTAAATACGGTTACATATTCCATAGGCACACACCTACTACATACTTCAGTACATGTACAAACGTATGTACGAAATATACTTACCAGCATGAGTCAGCCTCGTTTCAATATACATGTATGTTTGAACAAAATTTTACAACCATTTATTTGGCAACACAATAGAAATGGAAAGCAAAATCGTTTTAACAAACTAAAACTACGAAGAACTTTCAGAGGCACTTCTTTAAACAATGCATATATATGTATGTATGTATGCATATATCGGAAAAAAATAAGTACAAGTAAGCCAAACCAAATTTCGTGGTCAGGAGTGGACTTGCTTACTGCCAACCCAATGTACATAAAGCAAGTTCATTAAAAAATAAAATTAATGCAAATAAATATAATATCGGTTAAAAGTTTAGCGTATACATACACGCCTATTTAAATAAACACATATTAAAGAAAAACTAACACTTAGGCTATCAACAATACAGGTATGCATATATTCACCTGTAAATCCTCTACCATCGGCTCATATTGCTTCAGTCGTTCAAGTTCACTGGTTAGATTTTCAATTTGTTGCTGATTTTGTCGCATAGCTGAAAGTCGATCAACAGCTTCTTGCTCGCGGAATGATAATAAATTTTTTAATTTTTCTATTTCGCCTTGTTGTAGATTTTGTATCTTCTCCTGTTCCTCACAGTAGATGTCCTTTTGCGTTTGGGCAACTTTGACTGTTTCCAAGAGAATTTCATTGGTCTTTTCGATGCGTGTCTTTTCTTCTTGAAGCAATTGCAGCCGAGAATTTAGTTCAGTCACTTTGGTGGTCAGTTCATTGCTTTGACTGCGCAATGTGGAGAATTGCTCTGACTGCATAAGTAAAAAGTATTTCATTATATTTATTCTCTTTGATTGCTCATATTTCAACTTACCACATAACCCTGTGAATCTGCGCTGCCACCTCCTCCGGCGTCCTCATTAGTGGAATTAACACTCAATGTCGAGGAGAAACGACTTCGTATTCGATTGTTGTTATGGTTTGTGTGCCGCGTACTCGTTGCTGCGGTAGCCACATCTGAACCAGTTTCTTCTTTTATTTTGTTTTTCAACGAAGCAAACATTTTTAAACACTGCCTTTCACTGCCGTACTATACCTTTCTTTAACTGTATGAAAACTGCTTGGCAAATCAATTACACCATCCGATATTCATTATATCAACAAAGCGAGGCAGGTGAATGTTACGCAGTTAATGTAACTCCCAGTTATTACTTTCGTATTGGTATTTGTTGCTTATGTACACTGAATTCCTTGGCTGTTATCAAAACTGCTCCCATTCAAGTACTCCACTCTATGCTTTAGTTTTTTCTTATCGCAAATGCTAATTCTCCGTATTTAGAATGGTATGAAGTTATGCAAATTAGTTCAGTATGGAATAACGAGTTGCCTATCCACAATTGGCATTTGTTTTTATATTTTACACAGGTGAAATATATTTTTCCACGTCCGTCCAATTTCTGATTGAAGTTTAACAACGTTGTAAGTATACAATTTGACGCAAGTACGTTAATGCGACAGGGTGACAAAGAGAATTCGTTCATAAAACGTAACGAAAGTAACGTCTAAAACTCAAATTTCAATGGCTACTTCCTGTTATAAAATGTTGATCGTGCAAAACCACATATAAAATATTTGTAAAAATGCAGAGGTAGAAGTTTGAGACTAAACTAAACGTGTAGAACAATGCAGGGCAGAACTGCAGCGGCATTTACCACAGTTTTTTGAGAAAAATAAAATCGGTGCAAATTAAGCAAAAACTACACTAGCGCAGTAGCAAAACAGCTCTTACTCCTAATATACAGATCTAATATTTAAACCCATCGATATGTCCCTGCCCACGGATCCGATTGCATGGTGTAACAGAGGCTTGATTGGGCAGGATGATTGCCATCGTACCAGATCTTCTTCCGGTTCATATTTGCGTCCTTTCTTCGCAGAGAGTTGAGGGAGTTTGTACAATAGCGGACCGAAACAAAAGCAACCCTCTATTATTTTCAGCTAGTTAGTTCCTGGGTGTATATCTCAATTTCAAGTATCTGCTCTTTCCATTGATTGTTCATCGAATCGTTACGAGTTGTTTCTGCCCTCCTCAAACTCTAGACGCCTCAAATTATATGATAGCCTGTTTTAGAGNCATTTTCAGCTAGTTAGTTCCTGGGTGTATATCTCAATTTCAAGTATCTGCTCTTTCCATTGATTGTTCATCGAATCGTTACGAGTTGTTTCTACCCTCCTCAAACTCTAGACGCCTCAAATTATATGATAGCCTGTTTTAGAGGTTTTATATTTGTAAGCATCCTAAACTTGAGGTTTATAAAGGGTTCTTCGTACAAGACATCTCCACCTACCATTTCATCCAACTTCGATCCATCCGTGAACAAGTTCATTATGGTTACAAATACTCTATCCCGTCCAGTCGTACCTTAATGAGGTGCGTGTGGTGAAAAATGCACTTGGACCCAGCATCGGTGTGCACTGATCGGTTCGGGCCGGAAGCTCCTTTCCTTTCTATATATATTCTGGCGAGCCCATAGGTTAGGTTATATTAGAGTGGCTGCCCCGCGCAGAGCTCAGATCACACGTAGGCTTGAAAAGCCCGTTGTGGTGCCACTCTCCAAAGCCATTTGTTTCTATCCCTCCCTTAGCACAAAAAGTCGAGGACGTCCGCCGAGTTCAAGTCAGCTAAACAATCTAGAAAGTACTTGTTGAAGAATTGGTTGCGCGTATTGGCCATGCGGGACAATGGCAGAGATAACGTTCGATGCTCTCCATCTCTTCCTCGTATCTGCAACTGCGACAAAAAAATCGTTGGTGGGGTATCCTAACCTCTTTCTGTATGTGTCCATCAGGCAGTGTACGGTGATTACCCCGACTACAAATCTAAGAGAGGAGCCGAACAGCCAAATGAGAGCTATGGATCGTCTTACATCAATCTTTGGCCAAATTTGCCTGGTAGTATGACAGGTAGTTTCCATAGCCCACCTGGTATTTACCTCCTCGATGAGTGCAGCCTTAACCTCTGTTTTCTTATAAATGTCGGCTGTGACGTCACGTGAAGACTAGTGATTCTGGTCCTGAGATCGCAGGTTCGAGGCCGTTTGGAGGTGGTTATAATTTTTAAAGTTGAATTAATGTAAGTAAAAATAATTATTTCAATTTAAATATAAATAAAAAATTTGAAAATCTAATTGCATTGCTGAAGAAACATACATATGGGAAGAAATGCTTGACGATAAAAAAAAGATATTAAAAAAAATATTTTTTATTAAATTAAAAAATTACAATAAAAATCCTAAATAAAGAAATTCATAAAAAAATAAGTTAAAAGAAACAAAAATAAAATAAAAAGAATTTCCCTGCGCCAGGACTTGAACCTGGGAGCTCAGGCATACCACGCGAGTGCTTTGCTCTGTCGGCCATTGCTACTGTTGTCGCGCCGCGAGCAAAGAGGCATACTTATGCTTTTCACGGGGGTCGAATTGGCCGACTATCCCATCAACTGTTATGAAGCTACTAGTTTTTTACTGGTAGATGCTGATGCCTAGCCAGACAATTGACATCTCGTAGGAAAAATACCAGTCGCAAACAGAGAGAACGTAAACTAGTTGGGCTGAAACGCAAACGGGTAGAATTAGCTTTCCTTGCAGGGATATGGCTACCTAACCAGGTGCCAAGTACACTTTTTTTTCAATATTTTGTTATAGATGCAGAATGACAGGTAATGCGAAACTACATCTATTTTTCGTCTCTCCTGGGGGGAGATTCTGAAACAAGAGATTCTGTACAAATATTCTTATCATACGTCAACAAAACCGATACCGATCCGAAATTTGTCGCTAATTGGTTACAGAATCTGCCCTCTGAAAAATTGGAAAAAATGGACTTGGCACCTACCCACCTTTAGGCAACGATATGTATTTACGTACATACATATGTACATACAGGGAACAAAATTAATTATTTATGTATGTAAACTAATGTTAGTCAGAGGTACATATATTTTTCGAATTCTCGAATTTGATATGTTTTAAGCGCTTGTAACGTGGGAATCAAAAATAAAGTAAAGTAAGTAAAGTTTTCCTAGTGCATATAAATTTACACCAATGCCTAAATAAATACGTAGACGTGCATTAATATACAGTGGATCAAACAAGTGTTCAAGTAAAATTTTTTTGTTATTTTTCTATAAAAACATTGTCCAAGCTTTAACCACAACCACATAAATCATAGTTTCAAACTTTATACCAAATTTAGGAAAATTCAACAAATTTTCGAGCTTTTTAATATGCTTCCTTTCAACATTCCTGGGTATGCAGTTTTATAGCCCATACAATTTTATTCTCATGAAGTGCAAGTTTTATGCGGCTGCAAAATCGTGTTGATTTTTAATATTTTTTTGCGGACGGATTTTTGCAGTTTTTTCCATGTAAGCACGAATTTCTTATGAAATAAAATTCGCTCACAAAAAAATTAATAAAAATCAATGCCAGTTTTTGTAAATTGCACTTGTTATATAAAAATCCGCAAAAGCAGTTACGAAAAAAAAAATTGTTTTTGTTATTTTATGGCCTTATAACAATTATATTCAACAATTTTTATTGAGCTCGAGGCCATTTTTTAATGAAATCTTATTGTGGAAAAGCAACAATAATTCGAATCTTACTGAAAGAAGTCCGATGAGGAAATTTGGTGATTTCCGAAATAGCTATCACTTCTACCATTTTTTCAAATTATTGTTGCTTTTCCACAATAAGTTTTCATTAAAAAACGGCCTCGAGATCAATAAAAATTGTTGAAGAAAAAAAAATCTCTAATATCAACGGGATTTTTTAGCCGTTTGAAACTGGCACTTCCTCAAATAAAAATTATATCGGCTACAAAACTGCATATCCAGGAATTTTCTAAAAACTCAGATTATAAAGCTGAAAATATGTTGAATTTTCCTAAATTTGGTATAAAGTGTGAAACTTTAATTTATATGGCTTTGGTTAAAGTTTGGACAATATTTTTATAATAAAAGAACAAACAAAATTTAATTTGAAAAACATTGCAAATATTAAAAAAAATTACTTGTTTGAGTCACTGCATATGCATTCTCAAGTAGCACAAAAGTCAAAAATGCACCAAAATATTTTGTGTATTTTTTTACATCGGCGTGATATACATTTTCAATATAAAAAATATGCCATTTCTAAGCGCAGTTTTTGAACAGTTTATTTCAATTCAGTGTAAAGGTTATACCGCTTTTTCGTGTATTATTTACACCTACAGTAAATTTTTTTTACTGATTATCGGTATTTAAATATATTATGCCAGTGGTATACAAGTTTTCTTGTTTCTAGAACATAAAATAAACTCCGTAAAAAAACTTCGTGGAAAATACGTACCCATAATTGGCTCAAATCATACACCATAATGGTAAATAATTTACATCATATTCTAGCATAAATATATATTCATGAGTGTGCAGAGTACAAAATGATTCGAGGAATAAAATTTACTACTAATCATACGCATATATGATATGCATAGTTTTTGTACAGATTCGGATTATAAGGATACAAATACGTAAATTTTGTTTGAAACTTTTTTCTCCGAAGTGCCTTTTTCAACCTCTAAATGACCTTCGAACTTTAACTCGTCTAGGACTTCTTAAATGACTGAAAATATTTTTATTGTAAAACGAAAATATATGAATTACCAACTTGAGCACGCTCTATCTTCCGGTTTCGACCGGAAATGGTTAATACTGACCGGAAGTCCATTTTTTGAAAATGCGATTACATATTTTTAACACAGATTCGGATCCTGCGCATAAAAATACATACCTTTTGTTTGGAACCTTTTCCGGTTCGGACTGGAAGTGGGTTAAACTGGCCCGAAGTATATTTTTTAAATTACACATTTAGGTTTTTACTACAGATTCGGATACGCAGTTTTTGTTTGAATCTTTTTTCTCAGAAATGCCTTTTTCAACATTTTTCAACAAAAGTTCACGACGAGTTAAAGTTCGAAGGTCATTTAGACGTTGGGAGAGGCACTTCCGAGAAAAAAGTTTCAAGCAAAAGGTTTATATTTTGGTGCAGAGAATCCGAATCTGTAGTGGAAAGATACATGTGTAATTAAAAAATGAACTTCCGGTGAGTTTAACACACTTACGGCCAAAACCGGAATACTACGAGTGGTCTAGGACACCCTGTATAGGAGTAGTAGAGCCATATTATTCCGCTTATTACGTGCCGCCGACGTAGAAGAACTAGTACGATAAGGAATGTCATGCCGCTGCAGAGAAAAAGTTTGCCACATACAGGTCCTCGCTGCTTTCAGGCGCAACAAGAGCTTTGTGGGATTGTAAAAGAGAGCAGCGAGATGTATTGGCCGTAATAAAAAGAAAGGGCCGAAATATTCGAGTGCGGAGAGTTTAGAATGCTGGACGAAAGGAAAAACGATCAAACCCTGCTATACA